TATAGTTTTCCTTGTAGAGGTCATTCACATCTTTTGTTAGGTTTACACCTAGGTATTCCTCTTTATCCTTGATAAGTTTCCTTGCTATAAAGTCTACTCTGTTTGAAATTAATATAGCTAATGTAATTTTCTTTTGATTACTGTTAGCACCATATGCCTTTTCCTATCCATTTATATTAATCTGTGTCATTATATTTAAAGTGGGTTTCTTGTACACATGTAATTTGCTCTTTTTATGATTCATTCTTGTAATCTATATCTTTTAACTTGTGCATGGTCTGTGAAAGAAAAGGCAATATGAAGTTGTGGGGATTTCTGCCTACCATCAAGCAAGCAGACAGTTCCCTAGCAGATACCATTTGGTTGTTCTCTAAGTTGATCCAGTTCTGATACCTGCAGAGAAAAATCTAATCCCATAGGTTGAGGGTTCATTCCTCAAGCCTTCTCCCACTTCAGACCCAGGCACAAGTCTAGGGCCTTAAGAACCTTAACTGACAGGCTAAAACTGGGATTCCTACAGCCCTCTCCTCAGGTTCAATTAATTTGCTGAGGTTGCTCACAGAACAGAAAATACTGTACTTACATTTACCAGTTTATTACAAAGGATACTTTAAAAGGCTACATGTTAAGTAGCCTTATGAAGAGATACATAGGTGAGGCCTAGAAGGGTTCCAAATGCAGGAGCTTCTGTACCTATGGAGTTGGGGCATGTCACTCTCCTAGCATGTATGAATTCTGTTCATCTCTGTCAACCTCAATGTGGTCAGCTATCCAGAAGCTCTCTGAATGCAGTCCTTTGGGTTTTTATGGAGACTTCATCGCATAGGTATGATTGCTAATGGACTGGATGGGGAAACCCAACAGGGCCTCTCATGTTGAATTGCCTTCAGCATTCTTTCTTTTGGAATCTCTTTGACATACTATCTTAAGTTTCTATGGCTTGCTTTGGGGAGGGAGTTAAGAAGCAAAGACTATAAATGAAAACTAAAATATATACACCATAATATCACAAGATATTTTATGTAAGCCCTATGGTAACTACAAAGAACAGTTGCATTCTTTTGGAGACCATTATGCATAAGAGAAAAGTATCTGCGCACCCATGCACTTGTACTGGAATGGCACTGAGTTGAAATGTGGATAGTGGGGAGTCATGAATGCTGTGTATGGGCTATTCTCTTGACAATGAATAGTAATCTACGTTTCTTATTTTGCAATAGTAGAGACTAACATCTGTTACGTATTTCAGGAACAAAACCTGTAAGATACATGAAGGAGAATGTTGGTAGTGACAAGGGATAAATACTGCTTTGGTCGTCAGTTGTCTAACTAAGAAAGTATCAGATTCCATATATTTTTGTTCATTTATACATACAGAAGATTTTAACTTTGGAGAGACTATGGAAAATGGTACTTGATCACCCTCCCTACCTTAAGATTAAGGACATAAAAATTTATTCTTCCTTTCCTACTACTAAGATTTGAAGATTAAAAATTGAGTCAAATTCCTTTTACTTAGTGTTATTTTACTGAGGTAGTTGCCTTACTTTGTTTGCTCTCAATTGCTTTTTCCTCTTTAACTTTTCTATGTAATTCCTTTGTTATCATTGTAGCTTTTTAAGTTAATACTTTGCTTTTTATATGTTTTAGGTGTATGGAAAATTAAGCAAATGGTACAGAGAGTTACTAGTAGAAACTCACCTCCTTCTCTCCATACTATTTCCCTTATTATTAACATTTTGCAGAGTATAGTATATTTAACAAAATTGATGAACCAATAGTGACACATTGTTATTAAGTAATGTGCATAGTTTAGCTTATATTAGGGTTCACTTTGTGTGTTAAGAAGTTCTTGGGCTTTGGCAAATGTACTTATCTACTATTACTTTGCTGTACAGAATAATTTTCCTGTCCCCAAATTCTCCCCTGTTCCACCTGTTCATTCTTCATATCCTGCAACTGTTCTATGACTACTTGACAGTTCTAGGAATTTTTTTTATTGTTTTTGTTTTCTCTTTGGGATTTCCTATAAATTCAATCATTTCATCTGCAAACAAAGTTTTTTTTTCTAATTTGTATACCTTTTACTTTTGGCATTTAGCCAAGATTTTCAGTAAAATGTTGAATGGGAAAAGAGGGAGGGAAGGGGACATTTTTGCCTTGTTTACAGTCTTTGGGGAAGGTGTCTCATTTCTCACCATTAAGCCCGATGTTAACTATACGTTTCTTTCTTTTTAGATTTTTTTTTTGAGATAGGGTGTCACTATGTAGCCCAGACTGGCCTCAAATTCACCATTCTTCCACTTCAGCCATCCAACTGCTGGGATTAGTGGTGTGCATCACCATGCCTGGCTGTGAATATGTTTTTTGTCAAGTAAAATTCTGTATTGTTCCTAGTTTGCTAAGAGTTTTTGTCATGAACAATTATTGGATTTTTATCATATATTTTTCTCATTTACTAGGTGATCTTATCATTTTTTTCCTGTTAGTGTGACCAGTTACATTAATTAATTTCAAACGTAGAACTTCCTTTACATACCAGAAATAAATTCTTTTAAACTCTTTTTTTACTGACAAAATTTTATATGCAATACCTGTTGAGCTGCATAGTTTTACACAGTTTGGGCACATCTGGGTCACTGAAGAAACATGTTATCCAATTGGCCTATTATATAAATAGAACATACATTAATGTTGAAAAGCTATAAATATCTATTTATGGAAAAGAAACTGATTAATATTCATACATTAAATGTGGCTTCTTTATCCCATTTCATTCTAATGAATCATAGTACTCTTGGGAGAAACATTTACAAATCCATAAGTATCTTGGATGAATAGGAAATTCATTTTTGTTCAGTGCTGAGAAATTATAATCTTTATATTAAAAAGGTTTTTTAATTTTGTAAAAAATTTAAAGAATATATAATATTATACATACTTACTGTGTTGTACAGTGTGATACATGTGTAACATATATAATGATCAAAGCTGGGCAACTAGCATATCCATCACCTCAAACATTTATCATTTTGTGGGAATATTCAAAATCTTTCTCCTAACTATTTTGAAATACATAATAAATTACTCTTAAATATAGTCACTCTCCTGTGCTATAAAACACCAGAAGTTATTCCTCCTTTCTAACTGTATTTTTGTATCTGATAACCAGTCTCTTTCTAGCTCCCCACCCCTCTATAAACAAGATTTTTAAATATGGTGAAAATATAATCTTAAATTATTTTAATTATAATAGTCAAAGCAGTTTATTCTGTCAGTACTAACTTAATTTATATTCTATAGCTGATTGAAATAGTAGATTAAAAGTATGTGTTGGAAGGAACAAATCATTCTTGATTATTTACCTTTAGCATGTTTAGAGGTTTATAATTTGCTTTTTGCCATCTTAAGATTTTAATAAACTTTGAGTATTTATGAAAAAACTTTGAAACATGAATTTTTAATAGTCTAGCAATAAAAGGTGCTTTGAAAATACTTTCTTATAACCTGATTTCACTTTTGGACAGTTCCAAAGCAGGTTGAAAAAGCAAAGGTTGAATGAAAAACATAAATATTTGATTAGTGTTATAATAAATGAGTTATGAAATTCCACTTTTTTCTTCTGCACAGTTCCCAAAGCTCCAGAAATAGATCCAGTAGAGTGTTTGGTGGCTGACAATGCTGTAACAGTAGCTTGGAGAATGACAGAAGAAGATAATAAGATTGACCATTTCATATTGGAATATAGGAAAACTAATTTTGATGGACTTCCACGTGTGAAGGATGAGCGATGCTGGGAGATGATTGATAATATTAAGGGTACTGAATATACATTATCAGGTAAAATGACAGCAATTCAACAATCTAATTCTTAGAAAATAGTGTAATTATGAAAATATTTGTTACTTTAAAGGATAAAATTGTTGTGTTTTTTTAGGCAACTGAATTTTTACATATTCATTATGGAAATGTATTTCTCTTAAAATATCAAGAATATTTAGGGATATTTGCAACCTGTTAAAACAGAATGTATGTAAAGGAAATATGAAGGGATGTTCTAAAAACAATATTTTAGAGTAGCTTTTAATTTACCTTGGTTTTCTGACTAAGTAAAGAAGTTATTAATTTTTTAGCTTTTCTCAGTACCCCACCCTGGAACTGTAAATACTGTTGCTTTTACTTACTGTTTTAGGATTGCCTTCATATTGATAATTAAAGTAAAGCTGTGACTTGATATTCAAATTTTGTGTTGGCCTTTTCTTTTAAAAAGATATCTCAGAACAGACAGGACTTTGAATATTTGAAATGGCCAAATATTGCCTGAGATGTTCAGTGCTTATTATGCATAGTAATAACATTGGGAGTTACCATTATTTAGTACTTACTATTTGTCAAGAGCTGGCATTACATGTAGTACACCTGTATTACATACAGTATACCTCATTTAATTAGCACCCTATGTCTCATTTAATCTTTTCAACAATTATGAAGTTGGTTTCATCATTTCTGTTTTACAGATAGAAAACCAAGGGGCTGTCAAGTTGTTGAAAGTCCTATAGCTAGTAATTTTTGGACTGAGATTTTAATCTAGATCTAACTTCAGTTTTTGTTACTGATCTCTGTGATTCACTTCATTGTTCACATAAAAAAAAGTGTTAGTATAAAAATTCCTTAGGCTATCTACTTTCTAGAAATTGATAAATATGTTGTTATAAATTGTGACATCTCTCCTTGAATAATATATTACTTTTAACCTCAAGAGTACTTTTATTACTGAGTAAACAAAATTGATAAATTGTATGATTTATTTCTTTTGAAGAAAATAATAGGTAAATCATAATTACTCTTTTTTTAGACATTATTAACCATTTAACATAAATTCATACTCTTTCCAAATAGATACTTCTAAGGAAGGAAAAATTGTTTGAATATTTGTTCTCATAGTTTTGGGAATAGAGTTCTTTTCTTTTCATGTCTGAAAACCATTTCATTTTTCAGGCTTAAAATTTGATTCAAAGTATATGAATTTCAGAGTACGAGCTTGTAACAAGGCTGTGGCTGGAGAATATTCTGATCCAGTGACCCTGGAGACCAAAGGTAAGTTGAATAGCTATTTATATAGCATAAAGTAAAACTTTATGTCTGAAGTTATTCAAGATTGTGATAAAGAAGTGTTTTATGTGTAGTTGAATTCTTTTCGTACCCCTGGCTTTCCCAACAGTAGGAATTATAAGGCAAGGAAAATAGGACAACAGTAGTGGTTTTTATTAAGGTTTTCCCTTATGATTGCATTCATATAGATAAAATAGACTGGGACAATAGTGATTTTTTTTGTTAAGTGCTTAGGTTACAAATTTTAGGCTAGTGTTAAATACACAAGCATTTCTGATATTTGCCTAGAGTTTTCCCAGAGAGTAGATTATTAATCAATTTAGTGTAGAGGTGCCTGTTCAGGACCTAAATTATATTTCAGGTCCTCTCTGTTTTCCTGAATCTTCTTGCAGCTATTACCATCTATATAGTTTGTTAATGTGTACATTGTACTCGTAGTTCTTTATTGGATCATTAAGATCATCTTGAGAAGACCAGTAGATAAGATACTACTATAGCCATACTTCATATAAAGAAAGTAAAGCTGAAACATGTTAAATTGATCACTATCCTTAGCTGTTGCTTGGATAGGTGTAAGAGTCTATTTCCATGCTCAGTACCAGCCCTTACTTTAGGCCTGGAACCTAAGTTCTACTCTATAAGAATAATTTGAATTTAGTGAAAACTCCTTAGAATAACATACTCATTTACAATAGGGAATAATAGGCTCTCTACACACTTATTTTGTTGTTTGATGATGCATACTTTTTAGACATACTAAAGCTTTAGCTAATCAAAGTAATACCCTTAAGTCAAATGGGGTATTGTAAAGGAGTATTCCTTCAATACATAATTACCAGAATTTTAAGTTTTAGTGGGAAATATAATGGGAACAGATTAGATGGTAACTGCATAAAACATGATAACTTTGGGATAGATGATATTTTTAAGATAGAGTTTCTGGGACTTGTACTTCAGAATAGAAAAAAACTGTACTGTATAACTGTGTATCATTACATTTTAGTAATTTTCTCTCAGTTTCCCAAAGGGGAAGCTAATCACTGTTACACTGACTAAGAATTGTGAATAGTATGATATTTCCCCAAAATAAAATAATAAAATAATTTGAAACACATAGTTTTGTTTCATGTTTTTTGTTTCGTTTTCATTTTCCCCCCTTCTACTATTTATGATGTAAATCACCTTTCACCTGGGTCAGTTCTCTTGCTTCTGCCATCATGGCTCATCTCAGTTTGAAAGTAATGAGAGTTTAAGTGTGAAATTATATTAAGTATTAAAGCATCAGAGGAAGTTTCTGTGTGTCACATTTTTACACTATAATATTCTGTGTTTTTCATAACTTTTTCCTCCTCAATTCTACTAGTTCCCCTTTTTAGTAAAGATAATCAAGTGATAATTCTAACAACAGGAAGTGGAGGTTACTATGTTCTAATGGAGATTCCAGTTGAAGGAGTAAGCAGAAATACCAGTGGCCATGTAAGCACATTGTATTTGGTTAGAGTAGGGGTATGTAGAGAAAAATAATGGTAAATAATGTAGAATTATAAATTGCAGTTTAATCCCTGAGAATTTTAAGTGCTATGGTTAGGAATTTAAACTTCATTCTCTATATACAGTGTTGAATCAATTGAGTAGGAAAATAATATGATGATAGGTATGCTTCAGAAGGTAAAGATAAGTTAAATTTTTAAAAATATTATCTTGGACAGCACTTAACTTCAGTTTGGATAACTCATCATCCCATTTGAACTTGAAAGTTGAAGATACCTGTGTAGAGTGGGATCCTACTGGAGGAAAAGGTCAAGAAAGTAAAGTTAAAGGAAAAGAGAACAAGGGCAGGTAAGCTAGTTCATTAAATCTGTTAAGTGGACAAATGTTTGTTCATTGTTTTTTCTCTGATAATAAGTTATATTGAAATCATTAATTTATATATGGATATAAATACTTGTACATTGATTTGACAAAAACTTACATTTAAATTAATTTTCTATATACCAATATGATTTATGATATTTTAGTAACTCCAAAGTGAAGAGTAGTATAGTTGTCAGTACTTGAATTTGTCATTAACATTTATCATTACTTTTTTCTTAGTTTCTTACCTAATCATCTTACACATTTTTACTTCAGCATTCCATTTCTTCAAAAATGCATATATATACATACATATATATGTGTGTGTGTGTAGCAACTTGAACTGCTTAGAGAGAAGTTCCTTGAGTAATTTATGAATATTAGATATACAGATCACCTGTCTTACCTGAAGGAAGTCTGCATTAAATGAAAACTTTTAGCATTTAACCCCAGAGTTTTGCCTCTGATGAGCAACTCAATTACCTAAGATTCAGGCTTGAGGACCTTTTGTTATTTTATAACTTATCTAGATAATGTCAAAGTATGGGAGCCTCTTTTTAACAAGTAAATTTTTGCCAAAATTGAAGGTAAATATCTGACAGCAAGCTTTTGATCTAATTTTATTATAAGGTATTAAATTTAAGTTGAAAAGCAGTCTCTTAACAGTTGCCTATTTTTATCTGACAGTGTCCATGTTACTTCACTGAAGAAACATACAAGGTGACGATCTATGTCTGTCTAGTTCTAGGACTTAGTATATCAAGCTTGGCTGGATAACTTTAATTTTTTTCTTTTAACCAATAAGCAGAAGCCATTGCAGAAGCCTTCATTAAGCTAAAATATTGCTCTGTGTAGACTGACTGTATTGATAGCTTGTATTTTGAATTTACAACATTATAGTGTGTGATACAGTATTTGAATTATACTGTGTATGATAACAAAATAAGCTCTGCTTTAAAGCCTTTCTTGAATTATTTTCCCTCATCTGATTTTTTTTTT